TGATTGAATCTTAATTACCCTTGCTAATTAGGTCATTAGCGCTGCCACCACCCGGTTAGTACGTCCAGGAACAATAACAGAGATGATGCTTCTTGGCACTAAGACTCTGGCCGTTCTAGCTTGCACCAACCCAACGGGGTTATTAAAATCACTATTAAATGTGGTATTTACAAAGCAGCATGATTTGGGCTGACAAATCACTGACTGAGATACATATAACAGACTCTGGGGAAATTTATTAATGTTTACAACCCTTACATCTAAAGATGGCTGATCTGAAAACCAGAAAGGAACCTTAACATCATTGAAGGAAATGTAATTCCTGGGAGGAGTGAGATTAGCCACAGACTGAATATTAAAACTTCTAATAAAATCTACACCAAGCAACACCTCTCCTGGGAATGAGATATCCTTAAATACCATAACTGGATGGTTACATTTCACCGTGTCCTCTATAGAAAAATTTAGATTAATTTCTCCTAAACCACTGAATATGGCACTGGAAGCACCCTTAAAAGTACGTTCGACGGGAGTGACAGACAATATATTTAATTTCTTACAGGTACTCTCCTTAATGAGGATCACTTCGGACCCAGTATCAACAAAACACGTACAGATCATTCCATTTACATGAAGCCTAACCAGAGGACGACCCCGTTTAATTGGACTCTCCATCATCGTTACCTTGGGAACCTGAGATTCCTTTGTTTTCTGATCCCCATCTTTGCTCATCCGGTCCTCCCGAGTGAAAGCCCTCACGTGTTGGTGAAGACCTCGCCCTGCCGTGAGGTGGCTGAAAGGGACACTGCCTCGCAAAATGACCAGCCCTTTGACAATTAAGACACAGCAGTGGCCTTCCAGGGGAAACTGAAATATACCTGGTGCTCCGGCACGGCTGGCTATGTATGGGTCACTACACATACACACCCTCGAACACTCATGGGCTGGAGATAACTGGGCTTTTTCGAGGGTAGTGTAAATCCATGTTTCTTAACTTCTTTTGGAAAGAAAGGAAAGACGCGCGTATGCACACGCATATATATCTATATGCACAGTGTGTATGGGCATTTATTTACATACATACATACATACATATATATATATATATATATATATATATATATATATATATATATATGTATGCATAAAAACACACACACACACACACACACACACACACATATATATATGTGTGTGTGTGTGTGTGTATGTTTCTGTGTGTGTGTTTCTGTCTATTTATCTGTCTGTCTGTCTCTCTCTCTACATATATATATATATATATATATATATATATATATATATATATACATATATATATATATATATATATATATATATATATATATATATATATATATACATATATATATATGTGTGTGTGTGTGTGTGTGTGTGTGTGTGTGTGTGTGTATTTATATATGTATAGATAGATAGATAGATAGATAGATATACAGATTTATATATACATACATATACAAATATGTGTGTGTGCTTCAGTATAAATAAATAAATGTGATGAATATTGAGAAAATTGCTGTTACTCACAGTCTTTTTCATGGCAATCTCACAGCTGTTTCGCGCTGAAATACCGATCATTTCAGTTAATATCGACAGACGTGGCTCTTAAATTTTACAGAGTTGTGAACTTCACGGACCAGCGAATTTGTACCACTGATTCTCTGGCTTGTTACTGGTCTTTTGCCCAAGTGGTTTCATTGTGTTTCTCTGTTTCGGTTATTTTTTTTGATAGTTTGGGTAATTAGGGATGTGGTTTGTGTTTGATTATGTGTCACCATCGTGCCGTTTGTCTGTCTGTCTGTTCTTGCTTTATTTCTCTCTTTCGCTCTCTCTCTCTCTCTCTCTCTCTTTCGCTCTCTATCTCTCTCTCTCTCTCTCTCTCTATCTATCTATCTTTCTATCTATCTATCTGTCTATCTATCTATCTCTGATCTATCTATCTATCTCTGTCTCTATCTATCTATCTCTGTATCTATCTATATCTGTTTCTATCTATCTCTGTATCTATCTATCTCTGTCTCTATCTATCTATCCTTTCTCTCTGTCTGTGTTTGTGTATACGTGTGTGAGGGCGTGCAGAACTACCTGGCCATCTATTTTTCTCCTCTTCTTCGTGCTTTATCTCCATCTGTCTTTTCCCCTTGTGTACGTGCGTGCGTGTGTTTATTATCTCTCTCCCCCTTTTTCTTACAATTTGCGTAAATTCGTGTAGCTGAGCCCACGCACTCCCCGCAAACTAGAATTCTCACTGTTAGCCATTACTTAGCATTGGGGCTTCCCAGGATCCATTGCTTGCTCAGCTGTCTAGAATAGATCCAGATTTCCGTGTAAATAATGATCGTTCTCAGAAGCGACAGAAAGGATTTACTGTTTCCTATTTTTAAAAGAAATCTCAGAATACGTTGTCGCTAGATTTTCTGTTCATTTCCTACGATGACGGGGATGTATATAAACTGTGCAAAATTGTTGGATATGTTTATAC